ATAGATAGATAGATAGATAGATAGATAGATAGATAGATGATAGATACCCTTTTAATTATGTAGTTTTTTTAGTTTAAATATGTGATGTGTTTATTATGTTTCATTGTGAATAAAATGTTTTTGTTTTTAATTGAGGTTGTAAAACACAAACTATAACTATTTATGCGTTTTACTATTTGGAGTTTAATGTCTCTATACTTAGTGATCAGTGTTGGGGTGAAAATATCCATAAGCAGAATGAAACATTCAAGAAAATCAATATAATGAACCTTGTTGATTTAACAGAAATATTATGAGATTGTGAAATATCATTGTTAAACTGACTCCCTGCTGGTAATTTGCTTTAATTGGTGTGTGTAAAACGTTGAGTGGCAGTTGTTGGGACAGGAGACAGGAGGAAGGCTGACTACACACTGAGAAGCATGATGATTGTGATGGGTAAAACCTGCTTTGATCTTCTTGCACTGACAACCCTGATTACAACATACAAATGCAAAAAAACTTCAAGACTGGATGTGACTGTTTAAAGTCCCCAATGTGTTCAGTGAAATCTAAGAATTTCTCTAAAATGCACAGAGAATTATGATATGAAAGTTTCTAAATCTGGCAGAGGATTTCTGTCTTAATCACACAGTTTTACTGAAAGGAATCAGAGCTGATGGAGTCCATCAGAAATGTTGCACAAACTGTGTTTACATAGAGTATATTTTAATTTTAAAAAAGCAACTCTGAGTTTACTGTAAAACAGTAATTTGCTAATTAACCTTTAGGGAAAGACATTTGCAATCTGCCTTAAACAGACAAACACACAAAGAAAGCTGTGTGGAAACAGTAAAAGTCAGCTTGTTTGGCAAAGACTAAAGATTTAGGTTTCTGAAGAACCTTGAACCAAATGCAAAGCACAACAATAAGAAAAATCTGTGTGAACGAGTCTATGTTCATTGTTGTTGTTATTCTGAAAACACACAATGATCTGTTGTAAAAATCTTCTGCAGCTTGGCCAGTCAAGGTTGGCTCCAGACGTGCCTTAAAAAGTGAATGAATAGAAACTACACATTGAAACATCATGAATAAATGAATGAACGTCTAAAATAAAGAACAGCAAAGTTGCTGGGATTGACTGCAGCAGTAACCGTTTACTTTTTAATTCAAACTTTAGGTATTCATGTGTTGACATGAAAATTAAATCCTAATCGACATATTTATATTAGGATCTTGGTGGGCATTTATATTGATCAGTAATTGAAAGTTAACGTTGAGTATTGTATGTTGCTAAAGTAACTTGTATCATTACTTCCATGTGAGTTATTGATAAGTCAACATTGTAACGACTCAATAAACTCCTCTTTATCATTATTCGGAAACTGTCATTTGTCAATTTTTCCACCATGATGATTTTCAGAACTTCTGTAAATTTAAAAATATGGCTGCACATTGGTATGTTGTACTTATCAAACATGCAATGGACCTTGGTTCTGAGGTGAAATATGCTTTGATGAAACAGACGAAGACGCACAAATTTAAGCCTCGTACATTCACAGCCATGTTACTGACATATGAACTAGGTTTATTTCAAATTGTTTTCAGACTAATAAACATGTTAAGTACTTAGTTAATTGATACATTGTTGCATCTTTTTTTATGTTTTTAGGGAAATTGAAGGAATTAATTTCACTTCCATGCCCCACTAATTTCAAGGATTCAAGGATTTTTTTTATTGTCATACCAGCTCACATTTGCATGTTTATGGTATGAAATTCAAACTCAGGTCCCAGATCAAAAAGCATAACAATTAACAAATAAATAAATACAAAATTATATATATATATATATATATATATATATATAAATAAATACAAAATTATATATATATATATATACATATATATATATAGATAGATAGATATAGATATATACAAACAGGTATATAATAAAAATAATATTAAAAAACTAATTAATAATATTAATAGTTGGGTGTTTATGTTTGCAGGCTACTAAAAAAGAAGTAAAATCACATTTAATGCTACAAATGGGACGTGAAACATTTTTATATTATACTGTGTTTATTTAGAAAGTAACTTTTTTATATGCAAAATGAAATCACATGAATTGTTTCTTTAAAGAACAGTAAGAAACGAATGATCTGTACGACGTATCAGCTCACAAATATTTTGTTTGTAACAATACAATTAAAAGCTTGTCAGTCGGATCAGAATTAACTTTTTCTTCAATCTGAGGTCTTTCAAAGAGCGATCTATAACAAGTAAGATGTTAGTTATTCATAACTTCCATAAAACACTTTAAAATATATGAAATATCATTCCCACTTTTTATGTCAGTAAGAAAGCATCGGTGAAAACAAATTTTGTTACTAGGCTAATTAAAATTTGTCCAAATAATTACTCTGATATCAAAAAATGTTTCTGAAATGAATGTTAGTGAAGAGGTTATATGAGATAACGTTTAATGGAAAACACCACAGCAGCCCACAATATCTTCAGCTCTTATGCAAATCACATTACAATAAATTGAAAGGAAGTGCTTGATTCCTTCAAGTTAGATGTTTAGTTCTTGCTGTGTCTACAGTAATTTTTTTTATATAATTATCTTGATCAACCCTTGGTTTAATTTACACAATACCAGAAATAATTAATATATTTTACAATATGGCCTACATCTAGATTAGTATTTTGAAAAGCACTACAAATTAAATGTATTATTATTATTATTATTAATATTAAAAACTCTGCTTCTTCTGCAATGACCTTTTCAAGACATTATGTTTGTCTTGTGCTTTATTAATTAACTTTTTTTACACAGTGTGAAAAACTCATCAACCTCTAGCCCCCACACCAAACTTTTCTACTCCACAGTCTTGAAGCATCTTAATAGTTTTAGAGCCGTAAACTTCTATAAAAATCCCAAATGACCAT